GTCTTGTTATTGTTTTTTCGAGACAGGATTCCTGTCGTGGAACTAGCTCTGTAGACCAGGCTGGACTCAAACTCACTGAGATCTGACTGCCTCTGCCTCCCGAGTGCTGGGATTAAAGCGAAACCTCCACCCCTCCACCATTTCTTTTTGAGATGGGGGGGTCTCAGTATGGTCTTCAAACTGATGAGCTTCCTGAGGGCTAGGCCTGCCTATGCCATCACATCCCCTTTTTGTTTTTGTCTCTCTTCAGCTTTGCTGTCCTTCCATCAGCCTCAAAACTTTGGCTTTTCTCAAGGGCACTATCTAGCAAACTATCCTGGCTTTAACTATTTATTTATCTGTATGGTGCCAGGGACTGAACACAGGGCCTTGTGCATGCCATAGTTCCTCTTCTACTACACTACTTCTAGGCCTTGCTGGGTCAGGCAGTGACTGACAGGTACAGAGAGACACCAGCACCCAAGACTATTTAAGTCCCTCATCATCAAAATGACACATCCCCACCACTCAGCTTTTGGTCCATACTTACCTGCTGGCATGTAGCTGTGACTTTTCATTTCTAGTTACTGGTGGGATATTTCTGCCTGTGTACTATACTGTCACCATGCCCAGGATACACTGTTCTCCTTATGTCTGTTGTCAGCCTCCCCAGTGTGTATTCTGCTTGATACATCTCAGTCGGAAACCTCCTTTGTTAGAGACTTTTCAGTGGCTGCTCCTGCCTTTCATTTCTTCAAGGTGGGAGCCATCCTATGCTTTGCTGCCCAAATTATCTTAAAACTACTGGGCATGTTGAGCAGGGCTGAGAAAGTTCAACTGCTTTCCCACAGTGCATCTGAACAATTTCCCTCTTCCTGGAACACTACTGGCTTGTCTAAAGACTCAAGTTTGTTGTTCACTTGCCCCGAAATTAGTGCTCAGTTTCCAGAAGACACTGTTCTAGGTCCTCATTGGCCCCATGCCCCCCTGGTCAACTCAGCCAAGTTTAGTACACATCATTTTTCCCTTTTTCTGGCTTTTCAAGACAGTTTTTCTGTGTAGCCCTGGCTGTCCTGGAAGTCACTGTATATAGACCAGGCTAGCCTCAAACTTCAGAGTACTGGAGTTAAATGTGTGTGCCACCACCACATGGCACTTTTTTTTCCCTCCTGACACAAGGCCTCCATGTAGCCCTGGCTGGCCTGGAGTTTTCCTTGCCACTGCCTCCTACGTGCTGGGATTAAAGTTAGACACCCACCTGGCTAGTATACATAGTTTTGTCCTTATCTTTTAATCAGGCCTTCTCTGCCCTTGTAAGCTAGGCAATCCCTACTCCCAGAAATAGGCCATCTGCCATCTAGTTTATTGTGTTCTAAAACTGTTTTGTCCCAAGCTCAGGGAGTGTGTTCTTTTAACGCCTTCAACTTTCAATGCTTTGCTCAAGCCACAAGTGGCAGAACCTAACTCTCCTCTATAACCTGGACTCCTTCAGCATCTCCCAGAGCAATGCATGTAAGTTTCATCTACAGGGACTAACCAGGCCCAGGCCATGGTGCCCAGCAGAGAAGCTTCAACAAGCATTTATCGTGGATGACCCCTCCCACAGGGTTCCTTTGCTTGGTTTCGAACTGCCCACTCAGGCACCTTAACTGTCTTCCTGTTGTGTCTAGTGTTGCCGGTGTCCAGCCTGGACTCAGCCGATAGGGTCTTGGTGACTAACCCTTTGCCACAGCTGATCTTAATCTGAAGACGAACTCTTCAGAGATCTTTTAATGGGTGTTACAGATGCAGTTTTCTGTGTAGTGGGATTTGGGAATCTGCATTTTAACACCCTGGTCTACATTCCTGGTCCCACTTAGGCAGGATTATTTCCTGCGACAATTAGCTCAACTTTACACACAGCTGAGGAAAATCAGAAAAATGCCCTTTTGTTTCTGGCCCCCTTACTTGACAGGTGTAACACTGACAGGCTCCTTGCCACAGGTGCATGCTCCCCACGTGGTCCTGCTGGTGTCATCCCAGACTTGACCCAAGACCCTCCAACCCCCCCTGCAGCTGTGGCCCTCCCTTCCCACCCTGCTTTCCCCATTCCTCCTAGGCCCTGCCCACCCCCACAACCCTTCCCCAGAATATTTTATTGTTCTAAGTTTTCCCTGCGGGATGGGGGCAGGGGAACCACTGGCTAGACAGGATGCTCTCCATTCATCCTGTCCTACTGAATGTGCAATTTTTCCACCTGAGAAAACCCTGTATTTTCTACCAGAGAAATGGGCAGAGGCCTCTCTCTGAAACTTAGTTGGAGACATGTCACTCCCAGGAAGAGACCCCGTCTTTGTAAACATCCCAAAGCAGGCCCAACCTGCCATTTCTTTGTTGGAGCAGAGGGAATGGAATCTTGCCGATAAGGCAAGGAAAGCTTGCAAAGGGTAACAAGAGCGGCCCACCCTTATTCCTCTGGCCTCCACGAACCCCATACTTAAAGGGGAAGAGAAGGGGAGAAGAAAAGAACCAACAAAAGAGTTTAAGATAGTAATTCCCAGCTTTTTCAAATACGAAGCATTTTTAACCAATCCACTTTTTAATTCTTAAATTCTTGACATTACAGAACTAAACTGAAATTTATTAACATTCCACTCTTACATTGCTTATCGACAAACAGAAATAAAATCCATGAGCCAAAAAACCCAAACAAAACTAAAAACAGGGAAAAGCTTATAAAACTAAATATGGATCCCAGCATTAACAGCTGAACAGAGAATGTGATTTTCATTTTAAATTCTTAGCAGATGATAAAGTGTAGAAACTGAACACTTACAAATTATTTAAAACCTGGAATCACTGACCAGAAATTACACAGTTGGATCATGGGAAAACAGCAGAAGGGGGTTACGAGCGAACCTACACTGTTCTAGCTGCACCCCATGCCCTTCTCAGAGGAAAGCCTGGCATTGATTAGATACTGGGCCAGGCTAATACTGGCAGCCGAGCCAGTGATAGTGACCTGCCTTCCAGAAGAGCCTTCCACTGGGTTGGCAATTTTGATCTGGGCCCCGGACATCTGGCGGATCTCATTGATGTTGGCGCCTTGGCGCCCGATTATGCAGCCGATTAAGTTATTTGGAATGGTGAGTTCATGGGTGGTTTGAGTAGATGCATCCAAACTTGCCCAATAGCCTTTCACCTCTGGAGAGCTGGAGTCAATTCCGGCGAATCCCGTCCCGCCGTGCATCATGGCAAAGTGAGACTGTTGTCTTGCCACCTGGTTCAGCTTGGCCAGATCGAGCGGAGAAATGGTGTGTTGTCCTTGAATCGAGTAGGCGTCTAGAGGTGGTCCCTCCAGGTCGTGGGTGGCGTGGGGGTAGCCCGCCGCGTCGCTGCAGCGATCTTGGCCGCCCGCGCAGATGACTGGCGAGCTGGCCGGCATGGGCTGGTACGGGATGGTCATGACTCTCGCTTGCGGAGACTGGGAGAGCGTCTCCAGCATGACCAGGCAGATCTGCTTGACACACTCGGTGACCGACTGCGGCACGCCGGCGATAGTGATGGCCCGCTCGGTCGAGTTGGGCAGCATATCCCCCGCCACCTGGACCTGGGCCCCCGTGCTCTCGCGGATCTCCTTGATCTTGCAGCCGCCCTTGCCGATCAGAGAGCCGCACTGGGTGGCGGGCACCACCAGCCGAAGGGTGACCGGGGGCCTGCTGGCCGCCGTACTGTTGGTCATGGAGCTGTTGATATCTTCCTCCAGCTTGTCGATGATCATGGCGAAGGCCTTAAAGATGGCATTGGTGGGCCCGGTCAGCGTGATGATTCTCTCCGGGCAGTTCCCCTCCGAGATGTTGATCCGCGCGCCGCTCTCCTCGCGGATCCTCTTCACCGACTCCCCTTTCTTCCCGATGATGCTGCCTACTTCCTTTCCGTGCATCAGCAGCCGAATGGTGAGAGTCACGTTGAGTCCGCTTTCAGTCACACCGGCGTCCATGGCGAGCGGCGGGCGGCGTTCGGGAGTTGGGCTCGTTACGTGGTCAAGTCCTGGGCGGCTGGCGGGGGAGGGGAGGAGTAGGCCCGAACTGCCGGCGCGAGGCGAGCGGGGGCCGCGGGAGCGGGCGGGCGCGGGAGGGAGGCCGCGGCGGCGTCGCAAGGCGAGCGGCGGCAGCGGCGGGGGCGAGCGGGGCCGGGAACGGCGGACGGGCGGGTGGGCGAGGGCGCGGCGGTGGCGACTCCGGCGGCAGCCTCGGCGGTCTGGGCGGGGCGGGAAGCCCGCTTTCAACCCCGCGTACCCTCTGACCCCGGAAGTGCTTGCCGCGCAGGACCCCTAGAAAAAAAAAAAAAAAGAGGACCGGCTTTTTTAGGTCACAAGACTGCGCCAGCGCGCGCGCGGTACTTGAGAAAAGTAGCCCTGTGGCTCAGCGGGAGGCGAGGAAACGCACCGCGAGCGCGAACCTGGGGATCCGGCAGGGCTTGAGAGGGAGCACGTGTTTTATTAACTCTAGCGGCTCCGGCAGGGGGCTGGGGAAGTTACTGTTTTGTGACGGAGACAGACACCACTGGTCCTCTCCGCCGGAGGGCTCGAGCGCGGAGCGATACAGGCATCCGCGGAAGCCACTGCAGGCGGTAGCTGGGGAAGCCGCGGGTTTAAAACGTGCGCGCGAGGTGGACAGGGCGCATGCGCGGGAACGGGGGGGGCGGGTGAGGCCCACGGCGTCTTCCGGGGGGGGGAGGGGCGGCCGGGCGAGGCGCGGCCAGGCGGGCGTGCACGCGCTCTGGTGGGCACGTGGGGCCCCTTCGTCCCCGGCGTCCGGGCGCCTCTTACCAACCCCCACCTTGGCCTCAGTCCGGTGGCTGCGTCCGGTGCGCAGAGAGACTTGGGGCTCGCCCACCCCAGCATGCGCCGCTCGGGCGGGCGGCCGCTGTGGGGGTTTGGGGTTGTGTGGTGAACGCGGGCCGCCAGGAGAATGGCGTCCATTTACATAATGCTTTGTTTGCATTTTGTCGGTGTGTGTCAGTGAAGCCCTCAGAAGCCCCACCTCCTGCCCTTGTGCTGTCTCTCCCGCGGCAGCCGCGTTAGCCCCGAGAGCAGGGATGCGCCTTGAGAGGCGGCCGGCGTGGCCCCGCACGTCCGCGCTAGCTCGCGCGGCTCCTGGGCCACGCTCTCTGGAGGCGGCGCGGCCGCCATCTTGGGAGGTCTTCCTGACCGAGTTCCTCACGCCAGGAAATGGCCATCGAGACGCTGGAGAGCGAGTCCAATGGTTTTCTTTGCCTTCTCCCGGCTCCAGGGGTATAGCCAGACTAGAGGAGGTCGTGTGAGCGTGTTTAATACCTCAGAGACAGGACTAATCTGGCGCTCTTCCGCCCCCTTCTATCCCCACAGTGGGGAGGGCTGGCAGCCATGTTTCCTAACAAAATGGCGACACGTGTCGCCGACGAGAAATTGGGGTGGGTCCGAAAGCTCTAGAACGCGTGTCTGATGATTCTCAATCCTTCCCCAGGTCCCTTCAGCAGGAAATGGGCAGGCCACTTCGGAGTTTGTTGGCAGAAATATACGCCCTCCACCTCCCTTGTCGGGCACGTGAATAACTAAAACGCAGGCCTAACATTGATTTTTTTTTTAATTGAATAGCGACTGGCAGGTGTGTGTGTGTGTGTGTGTGTGTGTGTGCGCGCGTGCGCGCGCGTGCGTGCAGCACCTAGCCAAGCACCCAAGCATCTAGAAACCTGCTTTTCTAGACCTTGAACAGGTTGCGGTGTTAAGTGATTAAAGATTTTATAGCTAAGAAGCTATTAGAATACCAGTGACTATTCCACTGTCCAGTGACCCGCAAGTTCGCAGTTATGTCTACTTTTGTAGTCAAGAGGAACGGATGGTGGTTGTGGATCAATTCAGATTCCATTCTAAACATTTCACTACTTTTTTTTTTTAAATCACACTCACCTGACACGGAGTGGGCATTTATTTCTCTTTCTTTTTTTCCCCCAACAGAGTAAGACAAACTCAGAGAGATGAGTGACTGATTCAAGGTCACTCGATATGGCGGATGGACTCCATACCCTTCAGATCTCCTTACTGGTGAGCACCTGTTGCAGATTTTTATTTAAATCAGAGTATTTTTTTGCAGAGTGGAGATCAAACATAGGGTCTTAAACTTGCCAAACCCCACAGCTTCAGCTCTGTGTTTCTCAGTGCAAAATCACTATGTAGCCCAGCTCACCCTGAACTCAGGATCCTCCTGCCTCATCCTTTTAGATAATGGAATTATAGGCATATGCTACCCCTGACAGGATTATAGAATTTAAGCGTTGCAGGACATGATAACAAACAACTTTAATACTAGCACTGGGGAGTCAGAAACAGGTGGATTTCTGAGAGTTTAAGACCAGTCACGACTACATAGCTAGACCTTGTTTCAAAAAGAAAAAAAAATTTAAATGCTATTTTTGGTACATTAGATAAGCTTGTTTTTGTTTTGTTTGTTTGTTTGTTTTTCCAGATAGGATAGTCCTGTCTGTCCTGGAGCTTGCTCTTGTAGACCAGGGTGACCTTGAAGTCAGAGATCTGAAACTCTGCCTTCCAGTGCTGGGATTAAAGGCCTGTGCCACTACTGCTGGTGAGCATTTTGGTTTTTGAAGACAGGGTTTCTTTGTGTAGTCCTGGATGTCCTGGAACTACCTCTGTAGACCAGGCTGACCTAGAACTCACAGAGATCCTCCTACCTCTGCCTCCCAAGTGCTGGGAGTCTTAGGCCACTACTGCCTGGATTGCTGTATCGTTAGCCCTTCTTGTATGTTTAGTGCCTTCCAGTTTTTTTCTGGTGTTAGTGATGGCCTGCCCCTGTTACCTGGCAGAATGCACTCAGGCAGTACCTGGTCAGCCCAGGGTTCCATGATTGCATAGTCTGGTGCAAAGGACCCCTTTAAAACAAAGACCCCCACCTGAAGTTCCCATGGGGCAGATAGGACATTTCCTGTCTCCCTCTTCTGTCTTCTCTCTGTGTCTCCTTGCCTCTTTTCTCTTTCCTCCCCATCCCCTTCCCTTTCTAATAAAATTTATCACTAAGCTCTGTTTGTCTTGTCTGTAGTGGGGCAGGGCAACCTCCCCCTCCCTTTACCCTTGCCTGCCATGGTGCCCCACTCAAGCTTTATCCTAACGTTAGTGACACTTGTTTAGTCTCAGACATTGTTTAAGAAGCCTCTGGAAGTGGAAGTGATTCAGTCTTGTCCAAAGGGTCAAGTATCTGTTAGTCTGGCCTCCTCTGTGGTACATCTTCATCTGCCTGGCTTCAGGGGAGCAAGCAGTTTTCTGTATGACTGACTCCCTTTACTCGGTTATTCCTCTGGTGGTTTCTGGTTTCCCCATCCCAATACCTTAACAGATAAAATGCTATTTTGCCTGGCTCCAATCCTTCATTTTCTGCACATATTGACAAGAGTATGGTAGAGTGTTAGATAAATCATAATCTGTGGACTCTTCAGTGTAACAGGTAGTATGCCAAGCAACAAACATGCACCTAAGTGCCTTTGACTGCGTGGACATCAGAGAGGGAAGGGCTTTGTGTTTGGATTTACATTGAGATGATGTGTCAGACATTCTGGGTTAACATTATTTTACTTAATTGTGCTAACAGCTTTATAGGTACACAATATCAGCAATAATAGATAGCATGGATTATGTGCTAGGCATTATTAAAGCACCCAATAATGCTCGTAACAGCATTATTCAATGCATCTCACATTTTGAAAAGGAAAGCGTTGAAAAAAAATAAATTTCTTTTCTTTTTGTTTTTTTGACACAGGGTTTCTCTGTGTAGCTCTGACTGTCTTGGGATTTACTCTATAGTCTGTGCTGGCCTTGAACTCAGAGCTCTGTCTGCCTCTGCCTCGCTGAGCACTGGGATTAAAGGCATGTGCCACCACCGCCTGTTAAAGAAATTTATACCACTCACACATGTACACACATATATAAGAAAACTATTACAAAATGTCACTACTTGGAATATACTGGAAATTTCTGCTTGTTTCTTTATATACAAAGGAAACAAGAGTAATAACTAAAGTAATTATAAGTTCATAAGTAGGTTATGACAGATGCACATGTTTAATCTCACAGAACTTGGAGAGAGTGGTAATATTTCCATTTTACAGAAGTAAAGCAATTCAGTGTAGGCCATTTGAGTTCAGAAGCTATATGTTGAACCCCTAAACTACAAATGGATTTTACTGGTTGTCTCTTCTTGAATGGTGGCAGAGTAGATTAAAGGTATTTAAAATATTAATAAACACAAGTCAGGCAATAGAGGCAGGCTGGGTGGTCTACACCTTTAATCTCAGCACTCTGGAGGCAGAGGCAGGAGGATCTCTGAGTGTGAGGCCTTCCTGGCTTACATACTGAGTTCCAGGACAGTCATGGCTCTGTCTCAAAACAAACAAACCAAAATTGTGTAACAAAAGGATGAAATTAAATATAATGAGGGAGTGTCTTAATTGAGAAAATTCTGGTTCTGAATTTGTCAATTTTAAAGCTATTAGCTCAGGGTGGAGACATGGCTTAACAGTTAAGAGTTCCTCTTCCAGGGTCCCTGTGTTCAATTTCTGAACTCATGTGGTGGCTTAGTTTGTTAGCTCTAATTCTAGGGGATCTGACACCCACTCTTCTGGTGTCTAGAGGAACCAGGCATGCAAATGACACACAGGTGTACATTCAGACAAAAATACCCATATACATAAAATAAAAATTTATAAAAAGAGCTGGGCGGTGGTGGTGCATGCCTTTAGTTTCAGCACTGGGGAGGCAGAGGCAGTTGGATCTATGAATTTGAGGCCAGCCTGGTATAGAGAGTGAATTCCAGAACAGCCAGGGCTACACAGAAAAACCCTGTCTTGAAAAAAACAAAACAAACCCAATATATATTAAGACCACTGAGGCAGAAAAGACTTAAAATAGGTAGACTCAGGATAAAAAGCCTGATTTGGTTAAATTTTTTACTTGTACATTTGTATGTATTTTATACATGAATTAATTGTATATGTTTATAAATATATTTCTTTAATTTTTTATTTTTATATTTTGAAACAGGGTTTCTCTGTGGCTTTGGAGGCTGTCCTTGAACTAGTTTTTGTAGACCAGGCTGGTCTCGAACTCACAGAGATCTGCCTGCTTCTGCCTCCTGAGTGCTGGGATTAAAGGCATGCTCCACTACTGCCTGGCTATAAATATATTTCTAAATCAGGAAGTATTTCCTCTGTCTGTTTGTTTGCTTATTTATTTTTGGTTTGTTTGTTGTCGTCCCCCGTCCCCCCAACCCCCCCCACACACACTGGGTTTCTCTCCTGGAACTAACTCTGTAGACCAGGCTGGCTTCAAACTCACAGATCTGCTTGCCCCTGCCTCCCAAATGCTGGGACTAAGGCGTGCACCGCCGCCGCTGCCTCCACTGCTGCTGCTGCTACCACCACCACCACCACCACCACCACCACCACCACCACCACCACCACCACCACCACCACCACCAGGCTAATTTCATCTTTTTTTTGCCTACATGTATGTAGATGCACCCTGTTTGTGAAGTGCCTGCTGAGGCCAGAAGAGGATGTTGATTTCCCCAGATCTGTGTCCAACTCTGGAACCCACTAGCTGTGAGACTTGTATAACCCAGCTGTCTGGGCTTAAGTGCTCTCATCTATAAAACAAAAGGCCAACTAACCTCCAAGCTCTTTTCTGATTTTCCTGGTATGGTACTGTTTGATGACCTTGCTTGTTTAACCTTTTGGGAAAGGGGGAATTTATACCTAACATCGAGCAAATTCTTTATTCCCTTTAGACTCACATTCCATGTTCTGAGACACCACCTATGAAGCTACTGAGACAATAGAAAAATGAACTGGAAAGTTCCCTATTTCTCACCCATGATTCTTCTCGAATTCAAGTGATCACAGGTTGGTTAAGGGGCTTAATGAGTTTGGGAAAATGAGTTAGGCCTAGACTTTGTAAGTTGACCCACAGGATTTTTATGCTCCATTCAGAGGATGATTTTTTTTTTCCTCTTAGCTTATCTTGACATGCTGCATAAACCCTTTCACAGTGATTCTACATTATTAATATCACAGACAACCTTGCTATTCAAATGTTATTAAATGTGCACTTCAAAGAAGAGCTATCTGTAGGTGGGAAAAGACTTGCTGAAGATTAGACAGCTTTTGAGGACTTGAAGTAAGCTTCTGGGCTCCTGGTTGTAGATTGTTCCTTTTTGTTTATGTCTGTGGCTATGATTTTGACAGTAGAAAGTATCACTGTAAACTCAGAAGACTTCCCATCTGACTTACAGAGTGAGTAAAAGGACAGTCAAGGCTATACAGGAAAACCCTGTCTCAAATCCTCCCCCATGCCAAAATAATTAACGTGTGTGTGCACTCGCATGCTCGCGTTTGTTCCAGTACCTGTAGAAGAGACTAAACAGGGTGTCATATCTTCTGGATCTGGAGATAACAGTCTTTTATGAGCCTTTCAGGGTGGGTACTGGGATCTAAACTCTGGTCCTGTGATAGAGCAAAAGTGTTTTTAACCATGGAGCCATTTCTCTATCCTGTATTTTACTTAAAAAAAAATAACATTCATATATACATACCTGTCTACACACAGTTAAAATAAAATTACTCCTAAAAAGACTTTTTTTTTTGGTTTTGATTCTGTATACCTGTTAGTTTGTACACGAGTGTAGTGCTCACAGAGGCCAAAGTAAGTTATTGGATCCCTGGAAGCCAAAGTTATAGGCAGTTATGTACTCATTGATATGAGTTCTGGGCTTGAACTCAGGTATTCTGGAAGAATAATATATACTATTAACCACTGAGCCATCTCTATAGTCCCTAAAAAAGTTGAAAAATTTTATATTTTTGTGTGTATATGAATGCCTGTGTGCATACTGCACATGTTCAGTGCCTGCCAAAGCCAGATGGTATTGGGTTTCCTGGAACTAGAGTTACTAGAGTCTGTGAGCTGCATATTGTGGGTGCTGGGAACTGAACTCTGGTCCTCTGTAAGAGCAGAAAGTGCTCTTATTCCCTGAGCCCTTTCTCTAGCTTCTTTTTTTGTATTTTTTCAGAGAGGGTCATATTGTGCAGATCAGGCTGTCCTTGAACTAAGAGATCTGCCTACCTTTCTGCCTATGGAGTGCTGGAATTAAAGATGTGTGCTACTACATCTGGCCAAAAAGTAAAATAAAAATTATTAAGGTCTGAAGAGACGACTCAGCAGTTAATCATACTTGCTGACTGCCCTATCACCCATGGGCGTCTTACAACTGCCTGTAATTCCACCTCTAGGGGATCTGATACCCATTTCTGGCCTCCTCAGGCAACTGGGCACTTATGCATGTGGTATTTGCACATACAGATAACATGAATAAAATAATTATAGTAGGGCTGGGTCATATAGCTCAGTGGTGGAGCCCCTGCCTGATGTGCCATGGCCCTGGGTTTGATCCTTTCAACTCCCACCCAACCCCCAAATAAAGAAAATATAAACTGAGAAAGTACAGTCTAGAAACATGTCCTATCTATTTTGCAGAATGTAGTAGTTTGTCCTGTTGGCAAGAGAAATATGTCTTCTCTTAGGACATATTTGCTGATTCCCTGATAGACACAAGAAAGATGTTATTGTCATGCAGAAGTTATCAGGAAATACAGTAACATTCTTGGCCTAAGCTCTCCCTATTAGATAAAATGATGCTCACAGTATAACCAAATAGTAAGGCATGTGGATAGGTGTGTGAGGGAACTTAAAGGGAAAGATTCAGACACAATGTACGTACAAAACATAGAAAATAAGGAAGAGAAGGGAAGGAAAATGCTCAAATAAGGCAAGAAGAAGAAAACATGATTGCCCATGTATTTTCTATTAATAAGTGGTATAATATATACACTATTAACCACTGAGCCATCTCTGTAGTCCCTAAAAAATTGAAAAAATTTTATTATTATTACTTTTTGTGTGTATATGTATATGCCTGCTTATCTGTTGTATACATACCATGTGTGTACAGTGCCGCCAGAAGGTGTTGGATCTTCTTTTATAATAATGTATATTACTATATGGGAGTCTGTCAGTCTTCTAGTCAGTAAGTGTGGGCACCAAAGACAGGAGCTGGCATGACAACTCCTGGGTTAATTTTTTTTTTTTATTAGGGCCGACTGTGTGACTGTGATAGTACACATCTTTAATCCTGGCACTCAGGAAGCAGAGGTAGGCAGATCTTTGAGTTTAAGTTTAGCCTGATTTGTGGAGTTAGTTCCAAGACAACCAGGGCTACAGAAACCCTGTCTCAAAAGATTAAAAAATTAATTTTTATATGTTTGGATATTTTTGCCTACGTGTATGTCTATGTACTATACATATGTCTGTTGCCAATGGAGACCAGAAGAGGGCACCAATCACCTGAATTGTAGTTAGAGATGGTTGTGAGCTACCATATAGATACTGGGAACCTCGGTCCTCTGAAAGAGCAGCCAATGCTCCTAACCACTGAGCCACCTCTCTAGCAACCAATTCTCTATTCCCTTTAAAAGGTGGGGGATTTTTTTTTAAATTTTTGCTATCATCTGGAGATAGGTTTCCATCTCCATGCCAATAATTTTAATACTATCCTGAATTCAATTGGTTTATCAGGGAAAATATATTACAAAAGTCTCAGAAGAGAGCTGGGAATGGAATTTTATATCTGTATTCCTAGCACTGGGGAGAGAGAGGCAGGAGGATGAAGAGTTTGAGGCTAGTCTAGGCTACAGTGTGAAATCCTGTCTCAGAAAAACAAGGAAAAAAAGTCACAGAAGGTATTTTATCATAAAAGTCATCATATCCAGTCAGTATATAATCACTAAGAGCTTGATATATCCTACACACTGAAATCTGAGGAGTGAAGCCAGGTGGTGGTGGTGGTGGTGCACCCCTATAATTTCAATGAGAAACTGAGGTGAGTGCTACGTGTTGATGTAAGACTTTTTCTCAAACCAACCACCCCCCTATCCCTCTGTCATACACCCTCAAAAAAAATGAGATTTTTGTCTTTGCTTTCCAAACTATTTATGGTTCAGGGGAGGAAATAGACAAGCATTAAGTCTTAGGATATAAAGTAGCAGAGGGTACAGTAGGAATGTAGTGAAGGTCTTTTAATTTAGCTTTGGAATGAGTCTGAGAAAGAAAGATGACATTCAGAGTATCAAAGGTGAAGTGGGTGTCAGGGAAGGAGATTCTGGTTAAGAGTACAAACGCATAGAGAACACAGTCATGCCGGGCGTTGGTGGCGCACGCCTTTAATCCCAGCACTCGGGAGGCAGAGGCAGGAGGATCTCTGTGAGTTCGAGGCCAGCCTGGTCTACAGAGAGAGTTCCGGGACAGCCTCCAAAGCCACAGAGAAACCCTGTCTTGAAAAAAACCAAAAAAAAAAAAAAAAAAAGAACACAGTCATTCTGAAGCCAGCCATTTCTGGAAGGAATGGGTGGTGTTTGTCTTACCTAATTTTTTTTCTTTTGGATATAGGCTTTTTCTGTTTAGTGACCCTGGGTGTCCTGGGACTCACTCTGTAGAACAAACAGGCTGACCTTGAATTCACAGAGATCCATCTGTCTCCGCCTCTCTTGTGCAAGGATTAGGTGTGATCCACCAATGCCCCGATGTATTGCCTAATTTTTTTTTAGGATTTATTTATTATAGTTTTTGTTTGTTTGTTTGTTTTTTGAGACAGGGTTTCTTTGTATTGTTTTGGATGGAGACTGTCTTGGAACTCGTTCTGTAGACCAGGCTGGCCTTGAACTTACAGAGATCCATCTGCCTCTGCCTCCTGAGTGCTGGGTTTAAAAGGCTTGTGCCACCACCACCTGGCTCTATGTTACCTAATTTTATTTATTTATTTATTTATTTATTTATTTATTTATTTATTGCTTTTTCGAGACAGGGTTTCTCTGTATTGTTTTGGAGGCTGTCCTGGAACTCGCTCTGTAGACCAGGCTGGCCTCGAACTCCCAGAGATCCGCCTGCCTCTGCCTCCCGAGTGCTGGGATTAAAGGCGTGCGCCACCACTGCCCGGCATGTTACCTAATTTTTAATGATTGCTTTGCTTTTGTGCTTTTTCAGAAGCATGGTTTATTTTACTTATTTATTTATTTGGAGCCAGGAACGGCCAATCCCATTTATTTATTTATTTATTTATTTGTTTATTTATTTATTTATTTGTTTGTTTATTTATTTATTTATTGCCAAGATCTTCAGCCCCAAGCTGGCTTCAGACTGTGTAATGAAGGATTACCTTGAATTCCTGATTCTCCTTTACTTCCTGAGTGCTAGGATTACATGCATATGCCACCACACTTAGTTTATGTGTTTCTGGGATGCAGTTCAGGGCTTGTGCATTCTAGTAAGCACTTTGATCACTGAATCATATCCCTAGCCCTGGGTTATTGACATTTGAACTACCCTTGCCAGAGTGCAGAAAGAGAAAGTGCTTATTTTAGAGCAGTACTTAGTAAGAAGACAGACATTGGAATCTTTTGTTTTTGAAGCAGGGTTTCTCTGCATTTCCGAATGACCTTGAGCTCACAAAGATCTACCTGGCTTTGTCTCCAGAGTGCTAGAATTGAAGGTGTGTGCTACCATGCTGGGCTTGCTTTATGAAATTTTGAGACATAAATTTTGAGACTGTATAGTGCAGGATCACCTCACTGTATGGTTCAGACTATAGTCATTGTGTTGTACTATAGCAGGCTTTCTTGGACCACTAGCCCCACATCATGACACAGAGACTTATTATTAGTTATGAATACTTGGCCTTATCTTATGCTTGTCTCACTACCTCTTACTACTTTTTTTCCCCCCCGAGACAGGGTTTCTCTGTATTGTTTTGGAGGCTGTCCTGGAACTCACTCTGTAGACCAGGCTGGCCTCG